AGGAGAGAAGAGAAGAGAAGAGAAGAGAAGAGAAGAGAAGAGAAGAGAAGAGAAGAGAAGAGAAGAGAAGAGAAGAGAAGAGAAGAGAAGAGAAGAGAAAAGAGAGTCCAACCAAGAACAATATGACTGATGTGGTGGTGAGAGGAAAGCCCACTTAGAACAAATACACTCAGCTTCTGAAGAATCCTCCCACTGTTCTAGCACCATGGATAAAAAAGAATTCAACCTTTCTTTGTACTTTTTCTGGGGAAGCCTGAGACACCACACAAATGTGTACTAATGGGAATCCTCAGATCTCTGGAGCCATACTTTCCAGAACAGCAGGACTCCTAGTTCAACCCCATTCCCAAGGGTGTCTTGGGCTCTCTTACTAGTTCCTAATACAGAAACCCTGTATATGCTATAACACCAGAGACAAGAGAACTCAAGAGTCCTTTTGTGTATAGATTGTCTAAAACCCTACATTGCTGGTTACTGGGACACAGAGAGAAAGAAAGACTGAAATTAGGAGTCAAAGCGTAGTATAATTCATTCAGAAGGTGAGTACTTTCCCAGAACTGACCTTAAAATAGTTATCAAATTAATACATTATACTGTTTTACAAGACAAATGTTTCTCTAGATATATTTCTTTTGGAATTCAAAATGAAGAAGTGAGGAAAAACTAGGCACACACACACATTTAGATAAAGGTATACAATGTTGCTGAATCATATAGAATTATACTTAAGACCCACATAATCAGGTTTTAAATGTGTAACTTACAAGTATGCCTATCTTACACCAACAGAGACTGATTCTCAGTCTATGGTCTCAGCTGAGATGAAAAAGTCTTGACCTACCAATTACCAAACTGCTGATAACCCAGCCGCTCACACACATACATCTGGAGACTTATCGATGTTAACTTACCATTTTCAAGAGGTGTGTCCTCCGGCAAATCCACATCCAGCATAAGGTCATCATCCTCAAGGTCACACGATTCAAGATTATTCAGAATATCCTGTGAATAAAAGCAGTAAAAACACTATGACCTGACCCAAGGGATATACATATAATCATTCGTTTTGAGAGTATCATCATATAATAACTTGGATTTATTCAACATTTGTATGGTAAGGATAAAGTAGTTCTAATTTTAAAAGTATTTTTAAAAACTCATCTGTACTTATACTTTGAATTTTGGATCCCTCCACCCAGAAAGGGGACTAGCAGGATGCTAATGATATAAAGGGGGAAACAAGAGAAATAAGGAAGGATCTTTAACTCAGGAGAGGAAAAGGAGGATAATACAGAAGATGCGAGGAGGGGAAAATAATAGTAAGCATGTTAAAAAGACATAGGGAATCATTATTTTATATTTACCTAAAATTATATATAGTACATATAAGTATATGTCTATACATATATTATGTAGTTTACATGGAGTTACACCACTTGGAGTGATTAGTATTCCCCACAAGAGTCAAATCTAACAAAAATCCCAGTGCAGGCGTGAGAAACCGGAGTTGTTGGTCAAGAGTCCAAGAGACTCCCAGAACGCACAGGCTATTGTTGTTTCCTTTGGTGACCTCCAAAAGTTGAAGTAAATCCCTACTGCTGAAGACACCATGTATTTTGGACATAGAACTCAAAGGATGAAAGCCAGGACTGTCCCGGAAGCCTTTTTCCTGAGGACTAGGTATTACAGTACAAGGTGATATGTGACCTGCTAGAGGAGGAAAACAGGCAGTGGTCCTACCCAGCTGTGAAGCCTTTGAAACACAGCGATGCCCAGCATGGCAGGCTAAGGGACAGTTGTGGCACTCATATCTTGGTGGTAACCACAAGCCATCTAACTGGACTGAAGGCTCACTTAGCAGGAGGGAAATCACGCCTGGTATTATGACCACCTACACATACCTACTGACATTACAGATTACAGGAGGAGAACTAGTGAGGCCACTTTCCTAAACCACTATCATTCTTAACCGCATTCTAAAAACTTACTCTTTTTTTTGTTTTGTTCTTTTTTTTCCCCCCCAAGACGGGGTTTCTCTGTATAGCCCTGGCTGTCTATAACTCACTCTATAGACCAGGCTGGCCTCAAACTCAGATGAACCGGTCTCTGCCTCCTGAATGCTGGGATTAAAGGCATGCACCACCACCACCTGGCCTAAATATTTAATCTTACACCCACAGATAAGTACAGTTCACCTCTCATCAATCAGCTTCTTTCTGCAGCAGGAAACCATTACTGAAAGTCACAATTAGTCAAAAATGCAGAAAACAACTAACGGTGGGCACCAACCCAAAGTAACACCCTACAACACAACTTTTGCAACTAAGGCAAACTAGATGGCACTGGATGTCTCAAGCCAAAAATGACAATTACGGCCGGAGCAACAAATCCAAGCCAATAAAACATGGTATTCAAAGTCTACAGCAGGACCAAATGAGGTATACCCAACCAACAAAAGCAGTACTACCAACAACTGCTAAAATGGTATCTAGCTTTCAGTACTAATAACACTGCATGTCACAAAAGTGAGAGTCCTGAGTCAATCCCCAGGACCCACATTGTAAAAGCAGAGAACCAAGTCCCACTATCAGTCCTCTGACCTACACAAGTGTACTGTGGTACATAAGCACACACATGCACACATGCGTGTGCACACACTCAGTAAATAAATGTGAAAAAAGTTTACAACTAGACTATAATTGCTTTATCTGGGGTTTTTTAATCCATTTTGTTTTATATTGAAAAAGGTTTTTTAAATTAAAGACAGGGTAGGAGCCTGATATAATGAAAAACTGGTAGAATAATTATAACCTTGAGGATTTACTAAAGCCTGTAAGACTATAAAAATGAACAGTATATTAGCAGGGGGAGAAGGAAGTGTCAACATTTAATGCTTAGCAACAAATCATTACATATGCTATTTCTGGCATCTGTCTTGTTTTATGGAAAGATGCTCTGTGAAATGAGACGAGTCTAGGACGAAATATAGGAGTGGATCATATATGCACAGATGTCTACATATTTAAAAGTACACTTATATCTGGGAGGGAATAAAGAAACCATTCTATGAGATCATACGTGCTTATATTCTCATTCTGATGTTTCTGTGGTACAAGCATATTGCTTTTACTAGACTTATTTAATAGTAGAACTCCATATTAAATAAAAGTGTTCCTCTTAGTGACAGTATCAAGTAAACCCTGGAATGCACATGACCACAAGGTGTATTACCAATAGTTTCATAAATAAAACGCCAATACATATGAAGAACTATTCTACAACAGGGTAAAGAAGAATAAAGAATTCTCAAGAACTGAGAAGTTGTGATTTGAATCAAAGCAATGTTATTGTGGCTACAATACAGAAAATAGCTATCACTGGGGGCTGAGAAAACAATGCTGTAGCCACTGTAGAATTCATAGGACATACACTAGTCTGCTACTTCTGGTGAGAATAAAACAGTTCTGATACACATTGTAGAGTGAAAACATCAATGTTACATGAGAAGCAAAGTCCATGGGTGATTTTGAGCTTCAAAACTAGATACTTGAAAACTGATATCTACTAACAAACACATAAAAAGTG